CCTCGGAGCTGGAGAGCCTCAACCCCAGCGCGCGGAGGGTCCTTCCCCCCCCACCACTCTGCCATCTACACTACTTACCTAGCCATCTGCATTTTGAGTGAGCTGCCTTGTCTGGCACTAGGCAGTGGTCTCACTCTTTACTCACATATTTGGTTGGAACAATCAGCTGCTTGGAACTGAAATAATGTCATGCGAGGTCAGGGCACGATGAGCAACATTTCGGCCCGCCTCCCAAATTGAAGTATATAGGAAATTTTATAACTATCCTAAGTTGTTATTAACCTAGTTCACCTTGTCTAAAATCCAAACTCATTTGGCTTGTAGTATTTTACTAAGGTTCCAGCATTAATTTAGATTATTTATTTTAACTTATAAATATAATAACTTATAAATATAATCTAACTTATTTTAGATTTTTTCCTGCAATCCAGAAATTCTGCAGTTTTGTACGTGACAAGAGAAATGACCCTTATGCTGAACTCTTCCACAGTTTACATGTGCTCCCAAGACAACAGTGGAACATTCCTGTGTGAATAGTCTGACTTGGATTTTTTTGTTTGGGTTGTTGGTGGGGTTTTTTGTTGTTGTTTTTGGTTGGGTTTTTTTTTTAACACTTTGAGGAAATGAGGTGACAGCTGGGTTTTGACTTACAGAACAACTGAGCACTAACAGCTGAAAGCCAACCAATAATAGTTCGCTCTAAACAAGCATCAAGAAAGTCAGAGATCCTGAGCAGGTGGACACTTTTGACCTTGATCTCTCTGTGCCTTAGTTAAGTCTATACAGCAGACTAAATGATAAATGAGCTATGAGCTGTCTAGGTGTAGTAGTATAACATTTCAGCAGCTTTTTTTCAGCAACAGTATTTTCATTTCACTACCTCTCAAAATCCACACAGTAAAACCAGTAAGTCACCTTTGGTAAAACGTTTTATAAGTAGTATTACAGTGAGGAAAAATGCCAGATACTGGATAGCTGTTGGTTAACTGAGCATCACTTGAACCACAGAATGACAGAAGTGGGATTCTGCTGAAACAAACCCACAGCACCTAAAGATTAGCATCCTTCAATGCACAAACAAGCTGAATTAAAATTCCATGATCAATTTCAGCATTTCTGATCCAGGAGAAGGCTCAAAACCAAAGGCTCAAGTTCTCATCAGCTCTCCAAAGGGAAGGATAAGCACGCTCTTCGGTGGCAGGGGAGAGGGCGTGGGGAATACTGCCATGTGGAATATTGACTTTTTAAGGAACACAATTCCAGATTTCTCCCAGACATGACAGGGCACGACAATTATTTTTGAGCATACCGTGCACTTTTCCAACACACACTATTTCTCTGGATATTAAAAAGCTCAGTGATGTATCTGCTCTGATGAATGGACAGAACATGTTACAGCATTACCACACCACTGAATACCATTGCAAAGAGCCTGAACTGACAACGCTCAAGTGTTTCTGGAGAAGTAGCTGCTCCCACTGTTTTTGATTCATAGGATCCTAAAACACATCAGATGCTTAATTCTATAGTTTTTGAATCATCTTATCCTGTTTGTCCTTGCAGCTTGACGTGTATCCTTTTTTATAAACTTTACTTCCATTATCTTCACAAGCATTATGATTTTTCTTAGCTCAACCTGACCAAGTGCTCAGTTTAGGAGAAAGTGCAAATGCAATACTGCAAACCGCTACTGAGCATACCAGATACGCATACGAAGAACTCATTGAATTTTTGAATTTGACTTTTTCTTTTTTTAAGGGGGGGAGGGGAACCACCACCCAATTAACCTGCCAAGTTCAGCACAAGGTAGATATTAGAAATTTGGCTAACTTAGGGTTTTCTGAGAAAACTATCCAACCATTTAAACCTCACGGCATGAAATGATGAAGTGGGACTGTGCAACACAAGAACAGTATAGTAACAGCACTTTTGTTTTTCAAGTCACTGACCTCTTGTTCCCTTTGAAATATAACCACTCTGCCACCTTTGTCTCCTGTTGCAAGAAGATCACCAGAGTAATTAAATTCAACTGTTGAAATAATATCAGCTGTAAACAGAAGAGAAATAAAATAGCACTGTAATGTGTAAAGCAAATCAAGATGTTTCAAGACTTGAACACAAAACAAAACTACAACTTTATGAATGCAACAGCACAACTTCATTTACACCATTAGTATCCAGAAGTTAAGTCATGTTTCAAAGCCTAATAAAATTTTATTTACAATCTAAAACACTTCCTCATATCTTAGTTTTTTTAAGCTTTTGAAAGCCTTCAATTCTAAAAGAAAAGGCATATAACTATAAGAATCCAAACTGTGTATTCTACCTGTTGACAGCACATGCTGTAATACGTAACGAAGATTTGCCTGCACAGAGCTTCCAAAAGTCAGAACCATATCAGAAGTGGTTCATCTGCAGTTTTACGTTGGAGCAGCACTGCAGCTTGCACCGATCAAAGGGAGGTTGAGGCACACCTGCCTTTGCCCGAGCTCAGTGTTCCTGTAGTTAGTTCAGGAACCTGAACTGAGCAACCCCCCTCTGCCAAAGGGGAAGGGAAAAAAAGAAAAAAAAAAAAAGAAAGAAAATTCTTCCAGTTGAGCTTCCTGAACCAACTCTGTGCAGAAATATCAGCATGTATACAACAAACAAGAGGCAAAGATGATTGCAGCTGAAGGAACAGGAGAGCAAAGGAAAAGGTTGCAAGTGCCCTTAGGACTGAACCCTGAAAACAACCAGTATTTATTCACCACTGCACGCCACAATTAATCTTTGGAGGTGGCAATAAAGAAATAATTGCCATTAAATAATCTCTAACCAAGGGGCAGAGAGATAAGGGGCTATAAATGTCTGTCACAGGTTTTGAGCATATGGTAACAAAACCAACAAACCACTGGGCATAAAATTTTAAGTAAACATTTATCCATACTGTTGCTTGCTAGTCATGCAAATATTTTATTGTATTATGCAGGTATAAAAATACTAAGATTTGAATTATATGACATCAGTAAATTTTAGAGTTTGCAATTGGAGACTAGATGAAAAATACTATCCTGTATTGATTTTGATGTGCTGTCTTATAAGTTCCTTTCAATAATCCCCCACTCTTATGAGGAAGGTGATTAGAAAGTCTAATAAGTTTTCCTGATACATAATTAATATTTCACCTTTTATTAACAAATGCCCTTCAAAGCTTTTTCCTAGTGTATAAAGAACATGATTTACCTCCTTTGATTAAAAAAAAAAAAAAAAATTAAAAAATTTCTTTCTACAGTTTTATCCCAGCCTTCAAAATCGCATTACTAACGTGCTTCCGGACATGTCTTTTTTTATATTCACCTTTCTCTAAAAGGTTATGAAAACATTCCACTTTGCTGAAGAACAGGATGATGGCTAATCCCAAATCCTCGCATCCAAAATGTAAGAACCAACCCCACACCCTTGCTGCATGTACGCCATACTGAAAACACCAATCTTTCCTCATTTGACCTGCTTTTTAAAACTAACTGCATTGCTACTTTCTAGCTGGTCCCTCTAGCCCTTCGCCATTCAAAGCGATCCGCACCCGCCATCGCGCTGCCCAACCGCAGCGGCCACCGCCTCGAGTTCTCAAGTCATCAACCACAGAGCTCTTTGCAAACCTGACCCTTCATTGATGACCCCCTTCCAAGTAATTAACTAAACTCTTCTGACTTTTCACTACACACACTGGCAGAGTAAGAATTAACGCCTCTATCCTCTTTGTATCAGCTCCACATTTTGTAGCCAATTTCTGGTACGTGGCCTTTGCCTCTGTTACAGACTACGTAGAAAGTACTGAAAACACAAAACCCCTCGCACAATCCTTCCCCCCTCCAAATTGCTACAATGAATTTACTGCAGTAAGTAGTTACCTACAGAAAACAACACATGGCATAAAGGTTTCATTAGTACTAAAAAATCTCTTGCTTTAGAAATTGCCTTAGAATTATGAGCTTCTAGTAGCACAACAGTGATAAAATCTTAAGAAATATTACACACACATATACACACATCCTTAAATATATGTATTTTAATATGTATTTTTATGCGTGCATATAGGTAAGAGACTTAGACTATAGAGTAGTGCAATGTGCATTCAACCCAAAAATATAAATAGGAAAGCCATTTATTTCCCCTTACCATAAAGACCCACTTTGCCAAAACCATACCTATCCACTGAGCACAGTAATAACATTTCACTGAATGCCCAAGTTTAAACAATGACAAGAGATCTGCCAACCTGCATGTCAATGGATCTCTGTTCCTCTCTCAAAAGCTAAGGAAAACTCAGATTATTGATGCACTAAAACCAGATCATCAATATTTATACCTGTCCTTCCTATACTATAAATAAATGGGACCCAAGAGATGATGGAAAAGCAGCTTAGACGGCTATAAAGGGACCGTTTTCTAGCTCACTACTTTCCCAGTGAATCCTGTTCACGCTTTTTACCCCAAGTAAGCAAAAAGGTTACCTTGTATATAATTTTAACAATTTCTTAAATATACTTTCTATCATAAATAAGAAAAAATGTCTACCCGTAACACTGATACACTATTTCACTTTTCCAAAACTCGCCACATTTCTCTGATGTAATGTCTCATACCCTGCTTAGGTCCTCAGCCAGGCAAGGCATTATTTCATACACACAAAGCGTGCAGGCTGGTCCGTGGAAAGCTTTTTGTTAATTTGGAACTTTTTTCTTTCTTAAGAAAGAAAAACTTAAACAAGTCGCTTTCATAGCAGTCTGTATAACATACGTATATGGTAATCATGGAAATGTTTTAAACCCAACTCGTTCTCCCTGCCGGACAATCACGGTGAAAACAAGATGTATGAGAATTGAGAAAAAAGAAATCTCTGGGGATGTGGCTAATATTGCTGTTGGGCTTTAATACTGATCCATGGTAATTATTTTCACAATTACATGTTTGCTTTGTGCCCAGTACAAGCCTAAGGTGCATGAATGTATAAATTACAAGCCGTTACAAATGGCTGGCTGGCCAAGAAGTTTTAAAGTTACAAATACCAAATATCATGACATAAGCAAAGAATTTTGTAGCAAAATAAGAAAGCTAGTGAACTAACTGGAGATGTAATCTTAATTAAATTCTACCCCAAGACTGACAACAGTGCTAGAATAAAAAAAGAATACTACATCCCACATCACTCAATAACACACAGGAAAAACCCCAGGCATTTCAAGAGACACCACACGAAAGTAGTAAACTAAGAAAAAAAGCAGCAAACCAATGAGGTAAGGAGTGAAGTGACTCAATAGAGTAATTTTATGATATTTCCAGTACTCTACTCAAACATTAAGTAGCCCTTGAGTTACAAAGGTTTATCCGTAGCAAAACTAATATTCCACTACCACCAAAATCTGAAAGTCTTCTAGCACAGATCGGTTTTATCCTTTGAAGCATCAGTGAACACCCTAGCAGAAATAGATGCCTCCTTAACATATGCAATTATGTCAAACAAAGACACAAAAACCACTTTTCCATTTAGTTTCAGAAGGGGAAAAAGATGTCATTCATTTCTCCCATATATACTCTCAAAGTATTGACTGAATTATTTGCTCAAAGTGCATCACGCGCCATTTTTGCTTTAACGTGCATGTGAAGTCAACGTCATTTGTCTGACACAGCTACGCTCTACCAGCACTGCTACCAAGCCAACCATAGTGTTGGGTTCCTCTACGCTAGGAGCTGTGGAAAGATGCTAAAACACAGACGCTACCCAAATTCTATAGTTTTAAACAAAATGTACAGGGAGAAGAGGGTAAACAACATGCATGGGTACAGCGATCATGCCAGTGGAGAATGCCTCTTTCCTAATTGAGTACCACCTGGAAAAAGCAGCTCGAAATTTTAAATCAGCACTGAAACAGTATGTAAAAATTTATCGCCAACATGCTATATGGAAATAAGGTAAGTGGAGGGGGCACATCAGGGCAAAAATATAGAAAATATTTGAAGAAAGTTTCTAAGTTAAAAATTTTGGAATATGACAAATAAACTTTTTTTTAACAGCACTAAGTGTTTTTTTTAATATATAAAAGTATGAATTAACAACAGTATTCCCTGTAGACATGTTTAATTGAAGCATATCAATCCCCAAGATAATTCCACCCAGTATCCTCAGCACTGTACTATCTCAAAGCAGGTAAAATAAAATAAATAAAAAGAAAAGCATTCAAGGCTAGAGGTAATCCACAAAATTTATTCCAAACCACTCATTCGGTGTTCTGCTACATTAGCTCTTTATTTCCAAGTCAGCTTAAAACTTTTAGAAAAATACAAAGCAAGTGTTTGCAGGTTCTTAATCATCACATTCACTTGGGAATTTTTAAGGCTTTTTTATTATATGTAATATCTTTTTCTTATGTGTACAAGTACCAATTTTATTTCCCAGTGGAATATTTCAGCCTTTTCTCCATACAAGCAAAGTAACTCACGGTGACATGTACAAAAGGGAGTGGAAAGACAAACTATTATGGTATTTGCTCTCTATTTGCTAATGCACTCTTCTCCTATACAAGACACCTTTGTGATTATGACTTTCCGAAACAGAGAGGTTTGCCCAGCTTTCCCTCCATGTTTGTCCCAGGGTGGCTAGGACCCTCTGTTCTGGAAGTAGCCATGTAACTTTACTCCTGTAAACTACGGAGAGTGGGGAGACTTATGGCTTTACAGTAAGATATTAGTCTGGCAATACTTGGTTCCTTCCGGACATTGAAAAAAAATAAGTGTTTAGCTTTGCTTTTGGAAAGGATTCCTAATTTAATTCTAACTTAGCTATAGTCTACATACATAGTAGGAAACTCCTAGCTGTTTTCAAAGCTAGTATGTTAAAAGGAGCATGAGGAAAAATTGCTGGCAACTAAATTATGATTCTGTAGAATCCCCAAATTTAAAAGTGCTAAGCACTTCCATGGGTAGTAAACACCCTTCCAACACATTAGAAGGCTACAAATACCCATCTTTATAATAATGTAGTGGAAATCATTCTCAGTGACTCAGGAGACTGTCCTGTAAGCCTCGATAGAAGTTTCAAAATTCAGTGTAAATGCTCTAAGTGTTTTAACATCACTGCTGAGTGTTAACCTGCCTGTATCACAAAACTCCTGTCGCAATTCTGTTAAAGTTCTACAGGCTCCAAAGCCTCCAGGGCCAGTCACACTGAGGGGTGAAGGGGGACGGGATGACAGAGACCAAAATTCGTTAGGATTTTGAGATGACAGCAAGCTTCGGCCTGCTAACTAATTTAATCCCACAAAGGATTCATACCAGGTATTTCTAACTGACACCGATATCAATGTCTGGGCTCTCTGTTTAGGTAATGGAGAATGCAAAGAGATCCAGAACACCTAAATTAGATGCCTAAAATTAGCTACCGTGAACTTTTCCTCTCTAAGCTGGCTGCACGTTGCTACGTCGGTTAAAATCCAAAACCTGAAAAAAACATGACTTCACAGCTCACCCAGCCAATTAATGAATTTGCAGCTGTAGTCCACGCTCAGGACTCGCACAAACCAGACATAAGCTGCATCAACTTCTCTCTCATTCTTCTAAGCTATTCAAAGACTTTTGTCAGCAGCCCGCCCCTCGGGCATTTAATGGTCAAGGAAATCAAACAGCCACTGTTTTCGAACATTATCTAAAAAGGGGTCTGCCCCAACTTCTAGCAGATTTTAACTTAAAATTTTCCATATATGTAATGGACAACACACCGCTTCACATTCAGTGCAGACTGACAAAAATAACACGTTGGCAAACCTATCTCTTGTCTGTCCCCTTTAAAAATATTTTTAGTACACAGTACCTTTTCCAAGACCTGTTGTAGAGATCCAAAGAATTAACTCCTTTAAAGACTGTAAAACTCTCCGAAGAGGCTGATGCTTTGAGAGGAAACGACTGGATGTGGAGCAAAGCCAGAGGGCTGGCATAAACTGTAGGGGAGATTGCCAGTGGAAACTAAACATAGAAAGAACATTTCTGTGCCTGTAATCAAGATCAAAGGTGATACACCTTTCTCTCCAACGCACTCTGTTATTCTACAGAGCGTTTTATTCTGCAGCTGGAGGAAGCTGCAGGAGACATTGTATGGTCTCCTACAGTTGATGGGAATGAAGCAGAGAGCATAGAAGGGGGTACCACGACAGCGGGTTACGTGCTCTAAATCAACTTGAAATCAGCAGTTGGGATTCTCCCTGTGACATGATGCTGAACTGTAACACATGACAGCAGAATGAACAGAAACCTCTTTTGCAAAAAGCCAGTGACAATGTACAATTCTGAGGTACAACTGGTAAAAAACACGGTCAGTCGGGGCCATACAGGGAATGGCAAGGAACCATTGTTTCAGAGCAACTACGTGAAGACTCCAAAAGAGTCAGATAAAAGAATGTAAGAGGAGCATGTAAGATTAGTGAAGGAAAAAAGATCACAGAACCACAGACTGGCAGGGCTGGAAGGGCCCTATGGAGCTCCCCCATCCCACCCCCCGCCAGAGCAGGGGCACCTCCAGCAGTGGCACAGGACGGCG